TGAAGTCCAAGGGCTGCTGCGGTCCTCTGGATGGACAGCATTGATAAGCAACTCTCTCCCCAGCCCAGTTAATAATTCAGGAGAGGGTGCCTGCAGCCAACTCATCATTCCGGGCCTGCTGCCACCCCGACCGCCAAGCTAGCGGACAGGAAAGAAAAAATCACCGCACCGGCTTGAAAAATGGTCCTCACTTCAAGTGCTTCCTGGGTCCCCCGTGCTGCCATGGGAGAGAGCCAGGCTGAGATGTACCTGCTGGGTGCACAGCTAGGGAAGGATAGAGAGGCCCTGGGGCTTGCGGGCATCCACACTGAGCAAATTGTTTCACCTTTGTTTTGGGGCAGTGAGCTGTAGCCACTGAAGACCAAGCCCAGGATGGACCCAGTTCTCTTCCTCTGATGCAGCTATTGATCCTTCATTCATGTGATCACTCATTCATTCATTTGGGACTGCAGGAGGGGTACTCTCGTGGCAAGATGGCTGGTGAGAATACCCTTCCTGCAGTCCAGGAAGCAAAAACTGCGTTGTCTCAGTACTAATTTTTTTTTGCGGCACCGGGCATCTATTTCCAACATGCTCACTCATTCCTTCATTTGGGAATCACTGATACTGCTGATATAGAAGTGGGCATCCAGGAAACAGAGAAGGGTGGGGGTTGGCAGCACACCTTAGGGAGGCACACACGTACACCACCGTGTACCAGGCGGTAAAAGCCACCACACTTGATCTGAGATAAGAAACAGTTAACTGGGGGCTCTGGATCTTGGTGTGGCCTATTGCCTGGGTGTGCTGGGGGTCTTAGTGCCCAAAGCAGAGAGGGAGGGTAGAGACGACAATGGCTAAGATCATGGACTCTGGGGCTAGGCTGCCTGGGTTCAAATTCCAGCCCTGTCACTTACTTACACAGAGTTGGCCTCTCTGTGCCTCAGTTTCTCTATATGTAAAATGGGGTTAATAATGAAGGACTGATACAAATCACCCTCATATATGGTTAAAACAAAAAACCAGGGTCAGGCATGATGGCTCATACCTGTAATCTCTACACTTTGGGAGGCCAAGGCAGGAAGATTGCTGGAAGCCAGAGGTTTGAGATTAGCCTGGGCAACATAGGGAAACAAAAATAAATGATACACAAAATTAGGCATGGAGGCATGCACCTGCAGTCCTTGCTACTTGGGGATGCTAAGGTGGGAGGATTGCCTGAGCCCAGGAGTTTGAGGTTGCCGTGAGCTGTGATCGCACCACTGCACTCCAGCCTGGGTGACAGAGCAAGACCCTGTCTCAAAAAAAAAAAAAAAAAAAAAAAAAAAAAAAAAAAAAAAAGAAAGAAAGAAAAACAAAAAAAACCGCCCAAACTCTGACAAATGCAAAGTGTAGGCAAGTAACGCTACAGCCAACTTTAGAAAGTGATTCGGCAGTTTCCGACGAAGTTAAACACCGTGCCACCCAGCAATCCCACTTTTAGGTGTTTATCCAAATGAAATGAAGAATTTATGTTCCCACAAAAACCTGCTCATGAATGTTTGCAGCAGCTTCATCATCTCCGCAAACTGGAAACAACCCAAACGCCTTCCAGCTGGAGAAATGATACACTATGGAACACTGCACAGCCGTGCGCATCAACAATACGCGTGAGTCACAGGCGAATTATGTACGCTAAGTGAAAAAAGCCAGGCTCACGCAGCTCCATCCACACTGTATGTATATGACATTCTGAGTCAGAAAACTGGTCTGCGGTTGCAGAGACGGGAGGAAGGATTATTCCGAGGGGCCTGAAGGAATTTATGGGGAGCGATGGAACTGTTTGGTATTCTAATTGTGGTGGGGGATACATGACTATACATGTGCATGTGTCAAAAATTATAGAAGTAGGCTGGGTACAGTGGCTCACACCTGTAATCCCAGCACTTTGGGAGGCTGAGGCAGGCAGATCACCTGAAGTTAAGAGTTCGAGACCAGCCTGGTCAACATGGTGAGACCCCCATCTCTACTAAAAATAGAAAAATAAACTGGGAGTGATGGTGGGTGCCTTTAATTCTAGCTAAGCAATTGGCTGAGACAGGAGTATTGCTTGGACCTGGGAGGCAGAGGTTGCAGTGAGGTGAGATCACACCACTTCACTCCAGCCTGGGCAAGAGAGCGAGACTCTGGTAAAAAAAAAAAAAAAAAAAAAAAAAAAAATCATAGAACTGTACACTGAAGAGGGTGAATCTTACTGTGTGTAAATTGTGCCAGGCAGAGGAAACAGCATGTGCAAAGGGCACAGAGTTTGAAATCGAGTTTGAGATGGTGCATGGGAGCAAGTGGCAGGAAGTGAGGCAGGGAAAACTTACCTGGGTCCGTTTGTGTTGGGCCTTGAATGCCGTGTCAATGCTGCTTTGGATTGTGGGAAAATGTTGAGAGTTTTTAAGCAGTTGAGGAATGTAAGTGGATATTTGCTTCACAGAGACGATTCTGTTCTATGTTTAGAAGCAGAAGCCAGGCGGGGCGCAGTGGCTCATGCCTGTAATCCCAGCACTTTAGGAGGCCAAGGTGGGTGGAACACCTGAGGTTAGGAGTTCAAGACCAGCCTGGCCAACATGGTGAAACCCTGTCTCTACTAATAATACAAAAATTAACTGAGCATGGTGGTGGGCACCTGTAATCCCAGCTACTTGGGAGGATGAGGCAGAAGAATCATTTGAACCTGGGAGGCAGAGGTTGCAGTGAGCCGAGATCATACCACTGCACTCCAGCCTGGGTAACAGAGTGAGACTTTGTCCCCTCCCATAAAAGCAGAAGCTGTTGGGCACATGGGCCTGACCCTGCCTTTAGAAATAATTCTATCTGTGTTATAACTTTTTGGGAAGAGTTTGAATTTGTGGCTAGTGTTTTAGAACCAGGAGATTCTACTCAGAATTCTGGATTTTCGGCCTCCGTAGACAAGACACTGGCTTCCCCGTTTGCCCCCTCTACTCCCTCCATCAGATTCTATTCCCTTCCTGGCCCTACAGCAGGGTCGGTTTTGACCCCCGGCATTGAAAGTGGATTCCAGGAGGAAGAGATCAAGGTCAGTGGCATCTCTCAGTCGGGGTCTGAACACTTCCATCACCCGGGGAATTTGATGAAAGACCAATGCACAGGCCGAGTTGCTGGAGGAGGCGGTGCACGTGTACTTTGTAAATGTTCCCTGCCACCCCCGGTGACTCTGATGTACAGCCAGGGTTGAGAGCCACTGTTCCAGGGGGAGGCAAAGGTGAGCTAGGGGTCAGCAGTGGAGGTGGAGAGGTGTTTAGGGACTGAGGGGACATCAGGCTGAGGCAGGGGGAGCAGGACTCAAGCGTGACGTCCCAGCTTGGACAAATGCAGCATGACAGTGCCATCTGCTGAGAAGGGACGTGAAAGAGGCAGTCAGGGAGAGGTGCTCATCTTGGCTTTGCCATGCTGTGTCTGAAGGGCCTGTGGCCTCCAGGCTGAGGGGGTGCGATGTGCAGGTGGCTAACACTGCCGTGCCCATAACTTCTTCTGTGTGCTCTACTTTGTCCTCTGAGATGAGGAAGCTAGGGAAGGGTCGCAGGGGAGGGGAGGGCTATGTTGGGGGGAAATAAGGTGGCCAAGCTTCTCCCAGAGCTGTCTGCAGAACACAGGGGCTCCCTTGGTGTTATGGACTAAACTTTTGTGTCCCCAGGAAGTTCCTGTGTTGAAATCTATTCCCTCAAGGTGTTGGTATGAACAGGTGGAGCCTTTGGGAGGTGATCAGGTCATGGGGGTAGAGCCCCTGTGAATGGGATTAGTGCCCTCACAAAAGAGACCCCAGAGAGCTCCCCCACTCCTTCCACCATGTGAGGTCACAGCGCAAAGATGGCTGTCTAGGAACACAGCTGGGCCCTCAGCAGACACTGAATCCACTGGCACCTTGATCGTGGACTTCCCAGCCTCCAGAACTGTGAATGATGAATTTTGATGTGTAAGCCACCTAGTGTCACTCCACATGACTACGGCTCTTTGAGTGGAGGCGGGAAGCCCTTCTCGTCTGCCCTGGGTCATGGGTGCTCAGGCCCTGCTGAGTGACTTTGTCTGGAGAAGAGTGGGGGAGAAGCTTCTCAAAAGGGGTGCTTATACTTGAGAAGAAGAGACATGTGATGCCCTCACACCCAGAACCAGCAACTCCTTCCTGAAACCAAGACCCTCTGCCAAAACCTCTCACCTCCCAGCAGACGCAGTGGCTCTTTTTTCTTGGTTTTGGTCAATAACCTTTTCTGCATGTTAGCAGTGACTAGCCTTTCTGTGCTTGTGAGTGAAGCAAGACAGAAACCATTGTGCCCATTTTACCTATAAGAAAGATGATATACCATGGCGTAACATGCAGCCATGAAAAAGAGTGAGATCATGCCCTTTGCAGGGGCATGGATGGAGCTGGAGGCCATTATCCTTAGCCAACTAAGGCAGGAACAGACAACCAAGTACTGCATGTTTTCATTTAGATGGGGGAGCTAAATGACGAGAACACGTGGACACATAGAAGGGAACAACACGCACTGGGACCTTTCAGTGTGGAGGGAGGGAGGAGGGAGGCGATCAGGAAGAATAACTAATGGATACTACAGTGAATGCCTGCGTTATGGAATAATCTGTATAACAACCCCCCGGACACACATTTACCCACGTAACGAACCTGCACATCCTGCACGTGTCCCTGAACTTGAAAGTTAAAAAATAAAAAGAAAAAAAGAAAAGAAAAAGGAAAGAAATACGTTACTTTAGTACCTGTCCCTTGCTGGGTACTTGATATACATTTTATGGAATCCACATAACCATCCTATGTATGCAACAGGGGTTACTGTCCCCATTTTCCAGATGAGGAAACTGAGGCTCTGAACATTTAAGTATTTTGCCCAGATGGCCAGCTCAGCAGTGGCAGAGTCGGTAGCCACGCCCAGCTCTCTCCATGGTTCTTTAGTGTGTCTGTGGCGCACCCCTCCTGTGAGCTCGGCCAGGAACCCACACACAGACCCACACACGTATGACCTCTCCAGACACCTTTTATTGTCTTTGTTGCCCCTCAGCTTTCCTCCTGGTACCTAGCGGATGTCTTCATGGTGGTCTCTGGCCTCTTTTCCTTTGTGGACAGACTCACTTCAATGTCTGTGAGGTCAGCCCGGGGAGGGGGTTTAGTGTCCCCAGTAAGAGAGAGGCAGAGACTCTGGCCTTCCCATCCACCGAGGCGGTGCTCACGAAAGGCTCCAGAGCTTCCCCGTGGCAGCCGTTCCTGGCTGGGTTGGGCTCTGTCGCCATGAAGCGCTTGTCATCACATTGTCCTGCGATCGTAGTCGCTGTCCGAGCTATCTGAACACAGGATGGCGCCTGGCCTCCTTTCTTGACATGAATGAGGCATCAGGAAGCCCTTGTTCCTGGAAGATTCCGGGCTGAAGCTGCCCAGAGTTGGTGCTCAAAAAAAAGACTGGTGCTCCTCAGGGATGGAGCTCCCTTTACACCACCCTCTAATGTTTCCGCTAGACCTGCTCCCTGTGGGCTGGTGGCATCCCTGGTCATTCCTCATGGCCCTTCCCTGGTGACAGTCACTTGGGCTGTGCTTCTAGGGGGAGCTAAGAGTCGTGAAGGCGCTTCCTGAGCACCATGGCTGTCTCCCTAGTGCTTCTGCGGGCAGTGGCCGTGGTGGACAGCATGTGGTACAGAGCTTGGCCAGGACCGAGTTTCCCATAGACGTGGCTCCCGAGCATGACGCTCATGGCAGATGGTTCTTTTATGGACAGTCCCAACCACAGCTGCCGCTTGTTTCTTCTGAGCTCGTCGTGGTTGGTGTTGGTTGTAGATGGTGTTCATCATTTAGGATGGTTTCATCACGGAAGTTTCTAACTCATGACTGTTCTTAATATCGTCAGCGTTTGCCATTGAGAACAGCTGTCGCCACTGATGAGTTTTGGTACAGAGTGTCCCACCAGGATGCTGCTGACTACAGATGGTTTTGCCATGGATGGATCTTGTTGCAGATGGCTCGTCACTGAGGTTCACCATCTTGATATCGTTACCCCTCGCTGTTCTGACACACGTGACCTCAGCATTGGTGAATCCTGACACTACCGCTTTTCTATCAACAGCGGTTCTCAGTATAGACAGTCTCCTCACTGACTGCGTTCCCAGGATAGACAGGGGTCAGCATAGATCCTTCCTGCTGCAGGTGGCCTGTCCACTGACGCTTGTAGCTACAGATGGGACTACCCATTGATGGTCCACACAGTCAGTGTGCGCTTTTGAAAAGACCTTTCCTACTCGTTTTGGGAATAACCACTCTGGGGGCAGCCTGGGTTCGCCGGGCCACGTGCCGCTTTCCGAGAGGCCCTGGCTGCTGGAGAGGATGCTCACAGAGGCACGCACGCCTGGGCAGGCTGCTCACCCTTGGTGACTTGCTCACTGCTTTTTGTGTTGCCACCCGTCTTGTCCTCCTGCACACTGGTGTGGCTGCTCTGCCCGTTTTGGGCACTGCCCTCCAGCCCGACGCTCTGACGACTGCTAGCCTGGGTGGAGGGCAGGCTGGCTGTGGAAGTCAGCAGCCCGCTGCTTACCTGGTAGGCAAGGGCACTGCTGCCCAAGCTGATGAAGCTGGCGCTGGACAGGCTGACGCTGGACGGGCTGCCACTGCCCCTGCCCGGCAGGCTGGCCTCACTCTTGCCCTCCAGTCTGCTTGGTGCTGTGAGTGGGGATAGTCAGCCGGCTCTTTACACAGCTGAGAGAGTCTGTGGAGCCCAGCTGGCCCGTTTGGGTGCTGGGTGCGGGGGTGTTGAGCCTTCTGTTTGACCGCACCCTCCGGCGGCTGCCCACCAAGCTGATGTCACTGCCCTCCTTGTCCCCTGCGTAGCCGCTGCTCAGGCTGGCATGGCTGCAGTCCTCTGGCCAGGGGTGCTGCACGCTGAACACATGGCTCTCACTGCTCTGGGTGACGCTGAGGTTGCTGCCGTACACTTTCTGGGGCTCCTGAGCTGCTCCTGCACTGCGTGGCCACGTGGGGGGCTGGAGCTCTAAGCTGGGTGACTGTAGGCTTGGCTCTCCTTCCTGCGCATTCCGGACAGAGGATTCCCCTTTTTCTCCCTCGAGGAAAATGGGGGGCAGCTGAAGTGGTTTATCCAGGGGGAGGGGGCCTGGGAGGCCTCTGAATGTTGGCTGTGGCCTGTCTGGGGAGAGGTGACTCTGTATATAAGGCTGCCCTTTGAAAACTCTGTGTTCTGATTGGCTGGCTGAGTTCCCATGGTGATGGGGCTTGTGAGGTGAAGGCGAGGGTGGGAGGGAGAACAATGCTGTCCTGTCACCAGTGACATCAGTGGCCTGGCCTGGAGAGTGGAAGCGGGGCACAAAGGGGCTCATGGCCAGAGTGGGTGGGGATCACCCTCTGAAAGCCTTTCTGAGGAGCCTTCGGCCAGACGTCAGGTCAGGGGCCTCAGGTGTGTGTCCCAGCTGAGCTCCTTATGAGCCGAATTTCTTGTCTCCTGAGTCTCTGCCTGCTTGTTGAATGTGTGTGTGTGTGTGTGTGTGTGTGTGTGAAATATTTTTTCTTTGTTTGTTTTTTGAGATGGAGTCTTGCTCTGTCACGCAGGCTGGAGTACAGTATGTGATTTTTTTTTTTTTTTTTTTTTTGGCAGAGTCTTACTCTGTCGCCCAGGCTGGAGTGCAGTGGTATGATCTTGGCTCACTGCAACCTCCGCCTCTCAGGTTCAAGCAATTCTCCTGCCTCAGCCTCACAAGTAGCTGGGATTACAGGCGCCCACCACCACACCCGACTCATTTTTGTATTTTTAGTAGAGATGGCATTTCGCCATGTTACCCAGGCTGGTCTTGAACTCCTGACCTCAAAGAGTTACACCTACCTCAGGCTCCCAAAGTGCTGGAATTACAGGCGTGAGCCACCGCACCAGCCCTACAGAGCGGTTTTGAGAACAGAAGGGAACAAAGCAGTCAGGAGTATAACCTCAATTTCTTGCCAGATCGTCAAGGCTCTGGCCTGGTCTGGCTCTGCCGACCTCATCACACGCCCTGCCCTGCCCCTCACCTCGGATGCCCGACCAGCCTGAGCACTCTGTTGCTGCAAAAGGGACTCACAGCCTGATGCACTGGACCCTAACATTATGAAACTCGGTTTCTGAAAAAAGCTTTTTATTGCAAGTTGACTCAGAAGGAGGCAGGTGTCAGCTCAAATCTCTCTCCCTGTGCTGGTTTTAAGACAGTAATTTTATTAGAAAAGGTTTAGGGAGCGGATTCTGAGATTAGTAGGTGATTGACGCAAGCGGAAGTGAGGGCTGGGAAGACCTGGAGCATGCGCAGTTATCTCTTCCTGCCTCCTCATGGGTCCCATGTGCAAATCCGGGAGGAGCTAGTGTGAAACATGCAGTGGAAATTCAGGCTGTGCCATCAGCAAGCTTGTCTTGCACCGACTCCATTGGCCATATTGACTCCAGCTGATTTCAGCCAGTTTTAAGTGAAAGGAGTTTCAAGTTGTTTCTTTTTTTGTTTGCCTTTCTGCAAATTCAAGAATTTCTCTTAGTGGTTTCTTTAGCTCTTTGGAGAGCATGGTTTTAATATTTCATGCTCTTACCTGCTGCAAGGGCCTTAGCACTGACTGTTTTCACCCCCAGGGTGCTTCCCCCTCTGGCATCCGTCTGTTGTTGTTTTTTTTTTTTTTTTTTTTTTGAGTCAGAATCTCACTCTGCTGCCCAGGCTGGAGTGCAATGGCACAATCTCTGCTCGCTGGAACCTCTGCCTCCCAGGTACAAGCGATTCTTCTGCCTCAGCCTCCTGAATAGCTGGGATTACAGGCATGTGCCACCATGGCCAGCTAATTTTTGTATTTTTGGTGGAGATGGGGTTTTACCATGTTGGCGAGGATAATCTTGAACTCCTGACCCCAGGTGATCTGCCGGCCTCAGCCTCCTACAGTGCTGAGATTACAGACGTATGTAAGGCACCGCACTCGGCCTCCTCTGTCATTCTTTACGCTGCTTCCTAATTGATGTTCCTTGTGACATGAATGAATTATGTATTGGTTATTTATTGCCAGTTCCTCAGCCAGAATGTAAACTTAATGAGGGCAGAGATTCTGATCTCTTATTCTCTGCTCTGCCCCCAAGACCCAGCACAGTGTCTGACACCTTGTAGCTGCTCACTAGATGTTGATCAATGAATAAATGAACCACCCGAGGGGTGTCCATTACCACCTGGGGACCTTCCAAAAAACATGTTTGGATTTTCTTTCTTTTTCACTTGAAAATATTTTTCTTTTTTTGCAGCAATGGAGTCTTGCTGTGTTGTCCAGTAATCCTCCTTGCCTTGGCCTCGCAAAGTGCTAGGATGGCAGGAGCCACTGCATCTGACCAAGATTTTCTAAGACAGTGGTTTTTGCCCTTGGCTACTTACTGGGTTCACCTGGGGATGCCTGGGTTCCAACCCCAGACGTTCAGAGTTAATTGGTCTAAGGTGAGGCTTTGGCAATAGAATTTTAAAAAGCTCTCCAGGTAATTCCAACGTGCAGTCAGCGTTGAAAATTGTGCTACCTTGGACACGGATGCTTTTCTTGTAGATGATTCCGACTGCAACCTGATGAAGAAGTTAACTACAGATGAAAATGCTCAGCAAGCCTCTTATTAGTAGACACATAGATGTTTCTTGAGTGATGGAACGAATTAATATATTCATTGACCCCTAAAGAGTTCATGCATGGATTTTTAAAACACCGAGAAGTCATTGAAATTGTACACAAAATCTGCAATGAGCTAAACATATGCTTTCTTTCCCCTAGGGAGGCAGTCACAGCTTTCATAACATTCCCAAGGGTATCCATGATCCCCCAAAGATAAAGAAGCGTAAAGATCTGGCACAACTCCTGCCTCAGTGTTTGTGAGATGGGTGGTCCTGGTGCTTAGGATGACCCTAAGAGGTCTGGAGAGGGCTGGCCGGCCCTGTGTGGGGTTCAAGGTGAAAGGAGGAGGGCGCTGCTCAGCGAGAGCATTATTACCATCACTGCTAATCATCACTGTCATCATTGTCATGAATTCCTTTCCCATTGCCGGACGAAACTCGGCATCCGTTTGCTGTACACAGCAGCATCTTTTTTGCTCGAAAATCGTGATCCCTTAGGGGTGAGTGGGTCGCCATCTTGCTCTCTAGCTTCCTTTGTAACTGCCTAACAGGAACAGGGCGGTGGGGGTGTTCCAAAGACGCTCACTGTTCCCCGATTGGATGTTTTTTTCCCAGGTCCTTGGGCGTCACTCACCCAAGAATGGGGAGAGGGCCCTGGTGGCTCAGTGAGCTTGTTCAAGTCAGTATCGGACCCAGAGAGTTTTGCAGAAAAGAGATTTATTAGGGAGAGAGAGAGAGAAAGAGAAATAGAGAGAGAGCGCTCCCATGCTGCCGTGGGAGTGGACCCAGAGATGGAGTCCACACAGACAAAGAGAAAGAGAGAGAAGGCTCCCACGCTGCTGTGGGAGGGGATCCCAGAGAGGGAAATCCGTACAGGTAAGGGAGTATGGGGAATTTAAGCCCGGAGTTATTCCCACCCCATTTAAGTTCTCGTCCAGTGAGAGGAGCTCTTCCAGACTTCCTCTGGAGGGACAGATCTTTGACTCTGATATTGGATTGCTTGCCTGGCCCACAATGAAAGCCTCCTCCCCCAGAGCTTTTGGGGGGCTTTCTAAGCAAAGGAAACTCACCTGGGCTGTGTACTTTTCCTGCGTGCAGGAAAGTTAGACAAAGAACTCCAGGCTCCCGGATGGGGAGGTGGATGGAGGTATGGCACTGGGAAGTTCTTGCCTTTGAAACCACGCCCCTTGTGAGCCCGGGAGGAGAAGTTAATATAGTCCCTCACTGTCCCCAGTGCTATGCTCTCCATGGGGACTGGCAAGGAAGAGACAGGCATGGTGGCTTAATGGTGATGTTCAGAGTGAACGGTGTGGTGGGACCCAGCTGTTATGGGAAGCAGGGACAAGGCTGGCCCTTTAGGGGGCTGGCAGGGGAGAGGCAGGAGGCTGGACACCAGGCAGGTAGGCTGGGAGTCAGGACTGACTCTGTCCCTGTGCCAAACCAGAACAGGGGAGATGCCCCAGCTGGGATTAATGGTGAGCCTGTCGGAACGCATCTTCCCTCTCCCTGTCTTCCACCTCACCTGCTCTGGGCACGTGACATTACGGGCCTGAGGACTGCAGTGGGCATTTGGGCTTGTTCAGGATAAATGGCAGAGGCCACAATCATCAGAGTTCCCTTCCCATCTAGCACTTCAAATGCCAGGTCTGTAGCCTGTGGATACACTGAGACCTGATAAACAGCCATGGCTCAGCTTCTAATGACCTTTTACATCTCTGCGGGTTACTCTGGGAGTCTTGGGGAAGGCATTTCGTGGAGCTTCTGTTGCTTGATTCCAGCCTTCTCATTCCTGCCTCACCTGTGCAGCCACGTGAGGGCAGTGCTCTTACTGGCCTCTGCCCCAACTGCCCTTGTGCATAAGACCAGAGCTGTTCTGCCCAGGCACTGCTTCTGGCATCCTCCAAAGACACCGTGCTCAAGGCTCACACAGAGCAGCACCCTTCTGAGCTCAGAGTTCCAAATCCCCGAAAGATCCAGGGAGAAGTAGGTGGAAGATGTTTTCTACCCTGGGACCCGGTATCTCATTCTGGGACCATTCTCTGAGCTGCTGTTCCTGTCCCCAGTTCCTTGCTGTTAGCCCCCCAGAAACCCTCCTCTCAGACAAACACACATTCCAGCCTCTGTCTCCAGGTTCCCTTGTTCTCATGCGTGTCAATTTCTTCACCCGGGAGACTGACATTCACCAGACCAGCAGCTCAGCAGACAGAGCTCGACTCAGAGTCCCAGGCAAGGCTCTCACAGGAAACCTGGTTATAACCACATTGTCTGTGGCTCCTGGAGACCAAGCATCCCACCCTTCCTTGGTGTGGCACAGACAGTGCTCTATGCTCCCGAGACCATCTCATTTCTCTTCTGAGCTTAGAGGAAAAGTACGTTTCCAACTCCATCTAGGTAGGGCTAATAGAATGTGGGCAGAAGGGATGTCCACCTCTCTAGGCTTGGGCCATAAAATATCTCCCGTGCACGGTCCTTCTCTTTCTTCCCTTTCTGTAGGGACCTCGGAAGCATGCATTGGACACAGCAGAGCCCTACTGTGCTTGGAGCCTGGGTCTCTGAGTGACTGTGTAGAGAAGAACCCCTACCCTCTGCCCATTGCATTGGTGATGTCAGTGAGTAATAAACTTACTGGTCTAAGCCATCTAGATTGGGGGGTTTGTTTGTTACCACAGCAACACCTGCTTTGCACGGACCCAGACACTACTGATGTGTTTCACCAGATTTAGCTATATCCTGAAGATTTCTGCAGTCGGTTCTGGAGCTATGGTCCTGCCTCAGTACCTCT